GCCCCGTTCTATTGCTACTACATGGCGGCGGTTACTCGGCACTTACCTGGGCGCACTTTTGTGTATGTATTCCGCAGCTGTTTTGCCTTGGCGTTCTGACTGCGTGTCTGGGATATGGGATGATAATTCCATTATTCATTTAATTTGCAGTCCGAGGTGACGAGCATGATACACTGCCAGTGCCTGTGCATTGACCTGCGAGGCCACGGTGATAGCAAGGTGGGCGACGAGGATGACCTCTCGGCAGATACGTTGTCAAAGTGAGTACCACCTTGACCTCTGTTCAGTGGTCGTTTTTATTGATTTTTTGACCCTAGGGATATTGGCGATTTGATTCTTAAACTGTATCCAGAAGAAGTGCCACAACTCTTTGTGGTCGGCCACTCCATGGGAGGCGCCATTGCAGTCCATTTTGCTTCTATGGCATTGGTGCCCAATTTAATCGGCATTACCGTCATCGATGTGGTTGAGGGAACTGCCATGGAGGCGCTCGCCAGCATGCAAAGCTTCCTCCGCTCCCGTCCAAAGTATTTCCAGAGTATTCCCAATGCCATCGAATGGTGCATAAGAAGCGGACAGGTGCGCAATGTGGACAGTGCCAAAGTCTCAATGCCCGGGCAGATAATCAAGTGAGTGCTCCATAGTGTGTTCCATAGCCATTTCTCATAAATGTCTGACCGAATCGCCCATTTCCAGCTGTACAACGAATCAACTGGCAACGAATGACCTGCCACTACCCGATGATGTGCTGGAGGAGGCGCATCACTCGAGCATGTTTCCAAATCCGTTCAGCATTTCCGAAGATGAAGAAGTTTCGCCTCCGGGCGATGGTGAGGAAGGCAGCGCCGACGGTGAAGCAGCTGGCACCGAATTTAAGAAACCCACCACGACCAAAGAGGCCACTGAAGCTGCCAAGAAGTAAGTTAAACCCTAAGCACACACACGTACACAAGTCTTTTAACCCACTTTTCCTTCAGTTACACCTGGCGCATTGATCTCTCAAAGTCAGAGAAGTACTGGGTGGGCTGGTTCTCAGGCCTGAGCGACAAGTTTCTGAACCTTCGATTGCCCAAGCAACTTTTGTTGGCCAGCATCGATGGGTTAGATAGGACCTTGACAGTTGGCCAAATGCAGGGTCGCTTCCAAATGCAAGTCTTGGCACGCTGCGGGCATGCCGTGCACGAGGACCGCCCACACGAAGTTGCCGAAGTCATTAGCGGCTACTTGATACGCAATCGTTTCGCAGAGGCAGCTGGTGAATTCCGCTGCCACATGCCATCTTGTTGAGCGAATCGCGATGGTCGTATCTATGGCTGAGCACAAGCAGAGTTCACAAATATTTTTTTGAATGTATCATTAAACTTTGAACTAACAGATGCGTTCATAAAGTATATATATATATACAAAAACAAGAGGTAGAGCGTAGGAACAGGTACATACATATATATTTAGCCGTATATTCTATATATGCAGATATACGTATACTTCAGTAATTTATTCGATATTTTTAATTAAATCTATGAATTTTTATTATCGTACTTTATACTCATTTTGCCAAAAAAAATCGCAAGCAGAAGAATTCATTGAGTTCGGGCTTCTTAAATTGTTAAAATGTGTGTGTATTAAATATGTGCCAGATCGAAAGAAATTTTAACGAAATCGAAATTATACGAATGCTAAAAGGTTGAATAAAGCTATTATTAATCAAATGTTAACCGAAAATTCCAGCAAAATTATCAATTTGGAATGTACACAATATATTGGCATTTATTGAATTGGTTCTATTCGCTTCTGGGTGCCCTATAGGGTCAAAAGCAACATTTAACACATAGATTATATAACAGATTAACACAGTTAGTCGACGAAACGGTAGCCACCCACAGACTTCATCTTAATCTTGGACTCCAAGGCCTGGATGCGATGCAAGCGCTCGGCTATCTGATCGCGAATCTCTGGGCGATATTTCTTGCCCTGCCCCAACGATTCCATTTCGGTCAGCCACATGGCCCGTTCGTTGATCTGATCGAGGACTGCAAAGTAAACGGATGAGTAATGATTCTACTTAGGTACGAGCCAGTTTCTCCGCTTACGTTCGTTAATGATATCCTCCTCTGTTACGAGTGGCTCCTCACGGGGACGTCGCAACGGCTTCACGGCCGGATCGGCCAGATGTGTGCCAGCCATTGTGAACTGCAGCTGGGACTTGGCCTTCTCTCCGGCCATGCGATTGTCTGTGGGTGGGCGATAGTAGGTCGTCTTGTAGGCACCACTGGCCTCAATCTGGCGCAGATTCTTGCGCTTGGCGTTGCGAGCGCGATCGAGAATGGCCAACGTCTCCTTGTCCGGGTCATTGTTGGTGTTTGGACGTGGTGGCTTGGGCAACGGCAATGGCTCCCCATTGCGCAGACTCTCATCGATTTGCTTACGCATCAATATGGACATCTTGGACTCCTTAACGAGCACTAAGGAAATTCGAAACCAGTAGTAAAAACCGACCATACGGGTAATGGCAGTCGCGTCTAATGACACTTACGACGGATTAAATCAGAGGTCTCCTTGCTATACTTCACTTTGGTCGAGTGAAAGGCTCCAGCACCCCCCGGTGCAATGCGCTCACTTGGCCACATGGGCAACTTTTCTGTGCTGCCTTGTGCGCCAACCGCCTGTTGGTCTTCCTGCTCCACCATCAAGGCACCTGGCAGCGCCTTCAGATGCACATTGTTATAGCGATGTCGGCTCATTCTGTAAATCTAGAAAATTTTGCTTGGGACAAATTGTAGAATATTGTTGAACGTTTTCGTGTGCTGGCTAGCTTCGATATAAAGGTTCCCAGTCGAGTCGAGTTTGTTTTACCCCAAACAACAGGGAAGTTGGACGCATGGCAACCTGCGTTGTTCGGTTGTTAGGGTATCGAATCAAATAAACAGTGAGAGCGATTTTAAATCTCGAAATAATTTATTTAAAATAAATATATGGTAGGTATTGTATGTGTGTATATGTGTAGGGTAGGTACACTCTTGATTGGGGGCTCACATTTGATAAGCTGCAGGCCCTTCTCTTTCTCTCTCTCCCTCCCTCTCCCTACCTTTCTCTCTCTCTCTCTAATTCGCCAAACATTCAAAATGCCACCTGCCTCTTAACCGATCCGTAGTGGCAGTTTACAATCTTTAACTTGAAATTTTACAATAGTTTTGCGGATAACTTTGAACTCTCTATTTTCGCTAGTTTGCAATATACATTTACATTTATTTATTTAGGCTGCTTTCGGCTTTCTGTTACTCCTCTGGCCGTACATTATTTCGTTTCTTTTATTTTGTTGTTTTGGTTTTTATACATAAAAGCATTTTCGAGTTACAATAAGTTTGCGAAACTATGGACAAACAGTGATAATGAGGAAAAAAAAAAATTTTTTAAGCAAGCTTACAGTTTGATCAGCTTTTTGTACAATAAAATAAACATAGGCTACGCGGTACTGCGTATCTTAGGGTATTTTTTTTTTTGGCTGCCGTATCATTTTAGCTCTGCCCGTCTTATGCTTAGGATGCGACCTACAGACGCAGTACATACTGGTATGTATAAATATTAAAAAAAACCAACTAAAACATGCCGTTTTTACAAATAAACAATTGACTAATACGAAAAAAATAATTAATCGTAGAGTTACAGTTACATATAAATCAATGAATACAAATGACAATGATCTCATGAACGTCCGTCCGGCTGCATGTGCAACACGGTGTCCGACAACACGTACATGGTGGGTAAGGGGTATGGGGTAGGGGTTGGGAGCTTACGCTTACTTATACAAAATACAATATATAGCTCCGATCGATTCACCAACTTAAAAACGCAAACATTGAAACATTTCGAAACCTATTCGAAGGTTGGTTTGGTTTTTGGTTTGTTTGTAGTTATACGGTGTTCAGCAAATATATTCCATTAAATTTAAAATAAATTATGTGCATGTGTATATGTATATAAACACATACCATCCGTTATATGGGAGTTCTACTTCATTCAGCAAGCAAGGTGTTTTGATTCGCTCAAACATTTCTCAATTCTCCTTTTTCCTTTCACATTTCTCAATTTTCAGTCCCTTTCCTCCTTCCAGCTCTCCTCCTTTTCTTTCCTAGTGTTTATAATTGCGAAAAAGTAATCTTAGTCAGTCTCATGGTCACGATGCAGAGTTCACTATGTAAATTTTTACTAAATAAACGATTTCTTTTGTCGTCTTCTTGCCGGGGGATCGGATCTGTTATCGTTTGGCGAAGTGGTTCGTGTTTGTGTGCTTGGATATTGATGTGTGGTTTAGAATAGCGTAAAATGTTGATCAAATTTGGCCAAATTTTCCTACATAGAGAGAAGTGATAGTGGTGTGATATAGTGTATGTGTTGTGTGTTCTGTGTGGGATTGGGGCGTGGCTTGTTAGTTGAACTACAAATGGCGACAACATTTACAAAACTTAAACATTAATAACATTGGCCGCTACAGAGGCATCTCTGCTGCCCGCCAGATAGCTGGCCGAGCCCGGGCGCAGGCACAGACGCAGGCTTCGTTAGGGAGTTCGTTCATTGGGGGAGGCGCGAAAGCAGCTAGAGCTCTTGTCACAGCTCCAACGGCCAGCCGTTGGGCAGCGGGAGGGGCTCCGGGCACCGCCAGCGCGGCAGACACGACACACAGAGGAGCCCTGGCACACAACTCAAAACTTAACATTTAAACAAACTAGCAGAGCTTACAAACTAAAAACGATTACAAAAATTGCATGGGCTGTGGGCTCTGGTGGGTGGAGGGTGGGCGGGGCGGGGTGGTGTGTGTGTGTGTGTGGGGGGGTGGCGAAACAACGAGCATTACAATTAGACGCGACACGACACAAACATATAAGCGAATTTCTTACAGAACTAGATATAAAAACACATTCATTTTCGTTTATGAAATCAATCTTCAAAACGCAGTGAACACAAAAACTGCCACAAAATCATCGCTGAGCGAGCGAGTTGGCTCAGTTCATTGCCTGTTCAGTCATTTGGCGGCACAACGTCTCGAGCTGTTCCAGGCTCTTAAAATCGTTCATTTTATATTCGTGCGGCGCCATGCTTAGGCTAATCAACTGATGCTGCGGCTGGGACAGGCAATGATCTGCAGTGTGATTGTTGTTCTTGCTGCTCTGTTGGCAGAGAGTGTTGCTGCAGGCCCCTCCACTGCCGCCACCACCACCAGGACATGGGCACAGACAGCTGCCACTGCCCACTGCAGCGGCAGCAGCCGCCAGCAACTGCAGCTGTTGCTGGTTAATCAAATTGTTGTTCAGTATGTTGTTGTTATTGTTGTTGTTGATTAAAATTTGTGGTGGATGCTGATGATCGCTGTGTTGCGACTCCTGACTCTGACTACTAACCATCACCACGGCGGCCATGGTCTTCTTTGGATGTTGCTCCGAACTGGACACTCCACCATTTCCGTTCGCGCTAAGACCGTTTAGGCTTGGCTTGCGTGGCTGCTGCTGACTCCTTGAATCCATGACCAGACTATCGTTGGAGCCGTTGGTGTTGGTGGTAAGCACCCCCTGGCCCGGCTTGAAGACCATTTGCTGCGGCTGCTGTGGCCCACCAGTTACCAAAATGAGGTTGTTCAGCGATCGACGATGCGACTGCGGTGGCGTCTGCTGCGGTAAGGCCGGGAAATGGTTGTGCTGCTGAAGCATCTGCTGCATTTGCTGGGCATGGTGATGCGACTTGGGTGGCTGCTGCTGCTGTTGGTGATTGCTCATGAAGCTGGGATATGAAGAACTCTTATACTGCGGCTGATGCGACGGACCGCCGTAGCCGTTGTACTCAAATTGCTGTAGCGGCGGTGGCGGTGGTTGTTGTTGCTGCTGCTGCTGGTGATGCGGCAGGGGATGCTGCAGGCAGTTCAGGGAGAAATTCAACATGTCATTAGAGTTCTTCCGATTGTTAATCCTATCACTGCTGCCATTCTTGGGATCACACTTGCGAGTCTTGCCATTCCATCTAAAACATAGATTAATTAGAATACTAGAAAGAATTAAATAGTATGATTGAAAAGCACCTGGGTTTGTTGATGTTGCCGCCAGTGGGTACGCCGGGAGTCTTCACATGGTGCAGCTTTGAAACCATTGAGATTTTCAGCTTGGACAGCTTAAACTTGAGTTCCTTGAGTTGGTTGGCATGGTTCATGAATGCCTCGTTATGAATAGAACGATCAAGTATCCACATGAACACACCCATTGTTTCATCGTCCTGGACACAGTAGGGATCCGCCTGGACGGCATTGCTGACCAGGTCGATGACCTTGAGGAAGCGATGACCAATGTTCTCCTCCAGTGGCCCCATAGACTCCACGGGTTTCATTGGCGTCAGCACAATGTGTGTTAGCTCCTCGACAGCCGTACTGAGCTTAATCTGTCCCGCGTGCAGATCCTGCTCCACCCTGCTGAGGATGTGGGCACGCTCCTTCAGCTTGTCAATGCAGAGGGCCAGCTTATGGGAGGCACCCTTTGTGACACCCACGCTCTGGAGGAATTCCTCTGTAATCATCAGCATCTCCTCGTAGGTCATGTTCTTGAACAGCTCAATGTATTTGTGAAGCCGTAGGGACTTCAGCCAGAGGCCTATCCCCGACATGCCCACATTGCGGGTCTGGAACTTGATGTAGCCGGGCTTGAACTCGTCCAGCCGCGTATCGGAGCCACTGTTCGCCAAAGCTCCGCGCTGATGCTCAATGGAGAGAGAGAAACTCCTCGGTTTGTTGGCAAACTGGGCCAGATTCTCTGTGGAGTTGGAGCAGTTGTCGTTGACCGTGATCACTGACGAGTTGAATGAGGATGAGCAGCTGGAGATTGTTTGAGTGGTCAAGCTGTTGGAGCGCCGCGTCTTCAGGGCTGCTATTTTGCTGTCCAGACTCCAGCGATTGATGTCACCAAACTGATCGCCCACATTACCCATCAATATCGAGGCGTAGGGCAGTTGTGGACCTGACGGAGGCGGTTGCAACAGCTGTTGATGATGTGAGGTGGGAGGCTGCAAGCGATCATTTAGTATTATGTTTATGAGATTACTTCGGGCTTCTTTTTCTATTACCTGCTGACAGAGATTGCTTATGCCGCTGGCCTCACCCACATCTGCCATAATGGGGGGCTCAAAGTCGAGGATTTCCGTGCCATTCTTGCTGAATGACGTGTCATGGTCTTCGGTGCCACCGATGCCAAGCATTGAGCCCGCTGCCGCTCCCGCCACGACGCTGTTGACCAGCAAGGAGCTGCTGTCCAGCGACAGGCCTAAGCTATTCTGACTAGAAGCTAATTCGTTCAGGGTAATACCATTTAAATTATCACAGAGTGGATTAATCGATCCGCTGGAGCCCCCGCTGCCTCGCCAGTCGCCGCCGGTGAGTTTGTGCTGCTGCTGTTGCTGCTTGCTGGGCGGGGCAATCGTTTGCCAGTCATTGCTGCGCGACGATCGCGAGCTGCTAGTGGTGCACAAGCTGCTCCCTAGGTTACTCAGTGATGAAGAGGCCACCGAAGAGCAGGAGGCCGCCGAAGAACTAGCTGCCGATGAGCTGCCCGTGGAGCTGGTTCCTGCGACCAGTTGTGGCGAGGGCTGCAGGAAGTAGCTGCGATTCGTAAGACCAGCGGCGGCTGCCTGAATGTGGTCCTCGAGGTGTCGCAGCCAAATGTTTAACGATCGTCGATCTTCGCTGCTTATGGCCGGATGAATGAGCAAGTAGGAGAAGATCTGTTGCACCAGCTCCGTGGGCACAATCTGCTGCATGGTGTCCTTGACAGCAGCCGGAATCAGGGCCATGTATATAAGTTTGGCCTCATCGTTGCCCGGCTTCAGCAGCGGCAGCATGTTCAGCACCTCGTGGAGTATATCCTCCTTGCGGGCATACAGCTTCCTCTCATCACACTGCGAGGAGGTTGTGATCTGAAAATCGCTGCCATAGCACGGCATCGAGTCCTTGTCGGAGGAGGAGGAGGACATGCCATCCAGCACATCGCAGGGCTGAAACGTCTTGTATGCATTCAGCAGGTTCTGCAAGTAGACCGGATTGTTGGCATTGATGTCGATGACCACGCTGCTTAGATTCGTCTGCGAGGTCCCCAGATTCTGTGTCAAATTGTTGTCGATCGAATACTGAAGGAACTTGAGGCTCGGGTAGCGCAGACGCTTTAGCAGCGCGTACATGACGACGGTTCGCTCGCAGTCGTTCCACTTCTCGAAGAGATTTGTCACTGTGGTCACCTGCTCGCAGAACAGCGCGTTAGCCGGCTGATGAGGATTGGAATTGCAGTTGCTGTTGGCAATGGTATTGGTATGGGTGGTATGCATTTGTGTTGCGCCTGTTTTCGCGGGCGTTGTCGTAGATGTGGCCTCCTTGTGGGAGTGTGTCTGTGTGGGTGTGGAGGTTTTGGGCTGCATATCGTTTAATGCACTGTTGGAGTTTGTGTTGCTGTCGATGCCGCAGGACATCGCGTTGTCTGTTGTGCCAGTTGAGTACTTCATCTCGTTGTTATTTCGGTTTTTAGTTTCTTCCGTTTTTAGGAATATGTTAAGTGGGGTTTGTGTTGATATTTCAACTGTGGCGGCTTCTTTGTTGGATTATTTGGTTGCGTTACTGCAAAAGAAATATGTATATACGTTACTGAGTGCTAAACCAATTTATGTAGAGTACGCCTAGCCTACTGATCCGAATCGGTCTGTATCCCCAGCCACGTGATCAGATCAAACAATTTCTCATATTTTCCAAGAATTTGTCACCTGTTGCTGATGTTGTTGTTTTGGCACTTGGGCGATAATAAAATAAACCCCAAGCCACCGTCTCACAGCCGCAAACACATCTCAAAAGTTAATCAAATCAATTTTTTCGCTAATTTAATAAATTTACCAGCCAAGCGACAGCAACAACAAGAGCAGCAAAGCCGCAGCACCGGCGGCTACAATAGTAATCTATCTGTAATTGGCAAAAGGGAAATTAGCATTCGCCATGGGTCCGTCCGGCCCTCGATCGGGGGCTTATCAGGGCAACAAATGAACACCAAGCAAATACATAACACCTTCGACAACTTGCTTTTCGCAATCGATAGTAAATCAATAAAATGGCAAATAATTTAATTTAAATAGGAAATCATTAGAATTAAATTTCTTTATGCCAAAGCGACCAAAGAGAACAGAACAGTGAAGGAAGGGGAGGGGTAGTCGTTAAGTGTGAGGCCCTGCTGTAGTCGTCGAGAAGTTTGGTTAGGTTTTTTGCAGTTCGCACTTTTCATTTAATTTCCATTGCTTTTGTGTGCTCATTTCGAATCTTGTTTCTGCTGCCTGCCTTTGCTTTTGCGACTTTCTTCGATTTTTTTTTCTTTTCTGCTTTTGCTATCTACTGTTATACATTAAAGCCGAGGCGACGCACCCCGCTCCACTTCTCTACCAGCTGCGCTCTTAGCAATGCAGAGCTGTTTCTGTATTGGTACGTATGGGGTTCGTGTGTGTGTGGTGTAAGCAGACATTAAAACATAACGGGGCCCAATTACTGTATTAAATGCGGAGCTGGGGAATTTACCGATGTTTACTTTTTTATATTTAACTTTTTGGATGAAATTTCACATTTCTTGTTGTTTAATTGTTGCCAATTTTTGCACCATTACATTTAATATGATGAGAGAGAGGGAGATGGAGAACTTATCTCACGCTGCAAACTAACGGTAAATATGCATTGCCGATCCAATCTTTGAGGTTATGTTAGTTCCTAACCGGCTTTGAATAACTGCAATATTCCTAAAGTTCAATAAACGATCGTATCACACACACACACTCACACAGACACACAGATCCTTCCACTCTCTGGGGGGGAATTTGAAACCAAACTCACAATGCGGCGTCGTTGTTTGTCGAATATTGTGCCTGTTCAGCAACCGCGATCGCAGTCGTTTTGCATGTTTTACTTATTTCTTTGCATGCACAATATAAATTTGATTATCTGTAGTTGAGCAAATACACAATACAGAGAGGGAACTAGACGCCACGGAAAACAGTTTGTATTAAATAAACGAAGATGAGAACTGAACTGAATTAAGAAATGCTGCAACGACAAGCGGTGGCGGCTCGCAACAGACAGCAGGCACTCTGTGGAGCACTGAGGAGGATGGACCGGCAGGCAGAGTGACGAGATGATGGCGAATGATTTGGCGCTGGCGTCAGCAGAGAGTGTGTGGCGTTTTAGAAAATGGTGGAGCTTGCGAAAATCAAGGAGAGAGCGAAACGGGAAAGGGAACGGACACGGGCACGGGTACGAAGCGCGCCTTTTTTTTTGAGAGACCTTGCCTGCGAGTGTGTGTGAGTGTGACACACTGAGAATGCATGGCATTGCAATGCAAAGAAGGCAAAAATTGCGGCAAATTACATGGGAGAGAGAGAACGTTACAGGGCGGCAGGCAGGGAGGAATTCGCTCTCCTACTCTCTTCCCGCAGTCCGATGCTGTCGACGTCGCTGCTGCTGGCTCTGGCTTTGCATACAATAGTTTTCCTTTTCTTTCCGTTCCGTCTTTTGGTCTGGTCTGGTCCGTGATGGAGAGGTATGGGAGGAGCAGGCGGTTTGTTGTTTTCACCACAGACACACGCACACACACACACACACAACTCGCACAACATATATATTAGCTCCCAAAATCACGCCCCACCCACCTAACCATGGTCTCGTCGTTGTCGGCCAGACAACAAAAATACATAGCTACACTATACAACTGCGCTTGTGCCAAAATCGTTCTATTTTTCAATTACCTTTCTGCTTTCTATTCGCCTGCTGCAAACCTTGAAATTATTTTCTGTTGCAATTCACAGATTTGATTGCTTGGAAACACGAAATTTAAGCATATTTCGCTAATGTGATATGCTATCAGAGCGCACATTTATTAATTTATAATTTTCACCTTCGCTGTATGTGTGTGTGTATTTTTTATTAGCACTTTCTGGCTGCTGTTTTTGTTGTTTTTGCTAAATCATAACTACACATCGCCTTTTTTAGCCACATTTGCTGCGCATTGACGCAACGTGTTTTTTTTTGCCAAGTCGCGATAGAGAATTCCACACAACTGCTGTTGCATGTGGTTATATGAACATTCTTGCCGTTTATTCCATATTTTCAGCAATTAATTAATTATTTATTTCCGAACGCAACGCTTGTAGACTATGCAAATCAGCTGTGCAGTGTGACCGCGACTTATCGATCAAATATACCGTCCGACCGTCAGAAATATACCGAAACATCTCATTTAAAAAATATACCGTAAATATACTGACGAATTCAAGTTTTATGTTACATATTCCTCGTTTTTTATCTTTCGTGGAATTTTCACAGCTATATAGAATTATCCGATAATTTTATCCGATTACTTGACCGGCACATTAAATACTTGGCCCTTGATTGTTTTTGCCTTAATTTTTGTTGCTCAACAACAATATAGCGACTCGTATGATGGAAACCCGAGCTTAGCCCACATAAGCCCCCTATATTTAAATAGTTCAACTACTCAAGGTAAATGGCGGAAAATATTAACAATTGTACATTCTTATAGATCCATCCTATCCTTCCCTTTAACTTGCCAAACCCCACGAATCTTTCATATGAACTGCGCTAAAATGATTACCCCCTTGGCTTATAATAGGTTAATAGTTCTCCGGCAAGCATTGAAACCATATTGCTTAATTTTGATGTTCCGTCAAATATAATAAGCTACATAGAACAGTTAGCCATGCCCACATAAATTTATACGGTTCATGAATAATTTTTCTACTTAACTGGCTTATTCTAAATACTTGCTTTTATTGCATTTTGCGTGAAAAAGGTTTTTTTTTTCAAAATCGGAGGTTGTAGACGATATGATACGATACGATAAGAACGTACACATTTCCATTATGTACTTAATATGTAGGAAACGTGTAGTTACAATGTAAGACATGTATTAAGATTAAAATTTTGTTGACCTTCTTTGCTTAAACCTTATTTAATAAACAATAAAATAAAAAGGATTGATATCAGCCTTGTAGTCTTGTAGAAAATATACTTATCAGTCGACCAAAATAATGTGTTCAGGGCTGAGGGTTCTAGATAGCGACTAATATTTAACTGAATATAAAAATCAAGAAATATAATTTTCGATCATAGACAGAGATCGATTTTGTAAATCAGTGAGTTATAAAATACACTCCACGAAAATGATAAAACTTAAAAAGTATTCTTTTCCACGGCTTTACTAAAGTTGTTCGCATGTTTAAATAGAGGGGGTTAAGTGGGCTAAGTTCGAGCGAACCATAAATCCTCGGTCACACTGTTGCAGAAGGAAAATGAAAATTGTTATTGGAAAATTTTACTTCTAATGTGGGCTGCATAATGAAAAAGGCACCAAAACATTATGAGCAACAGCTTTGGCACACACAGCAGTACATGCAAGTTCTACATACCGTAATAAACCACTAGCACCGCGAAAATCCCAACGAAACGCACACAAACACAACAAAAGAACATTTCCATTGCGCTGTAGCAGTATCGACAGCGAAAAGAATGTTTGCCCAAACGGAATCGCAGAAGACGAGCTTCCTTGAGCAGACTAAGGCGGCCAGGGAGGAGCGGGCGCTGGAGAAGCGCCGTGAGTCGGCCGCCATCCTGCTGCAGTCTACACTCAAAGGATATGCGTCGCGCCGGAAATATCAGAAGCGTATCATGTAAACCCTTGTCCCATCCCATTGCCACGCTCTTCTATACATACCCCCTTCACCTTCTTTGTAGCAACGATTTTGATGCGGTATTTGTGCCCGGACAGGATGAGAAAGATACGGAACTGGAGCTGACTGCCGTTAATGTGTATCCTTTGCTCCGTCGGTATCTCACGCAAATCAAATTGGACAAGAAGAATATGAAAGCACGCGAGCGTCTGGAGATCATCTGCCGCTACGTTAACAAAGCCATGGAGGCGGAAAATACAAGGCTCTCGTACGCGGCCCTCTGCCTGCACAAGGAGCGGAGTCTACCCTGGATCGCGCACATCAAGATATTGCTAACCAACTGCCTGCTGCTGCTGCCAGAGCTCAAGCCAGAGAATCATGCCGACAGCCTGTCATTGGCCCTCTTCCTCCACACCCTGATTGTGTTTACTTCGCCAAAGTCATGGGCCATACTGCGGAATGCCACATTTGGAGGCCTCCAGCCTGCCATGCAAAAGGTCTGCTGCAACATTCAGGGGCACCTGGTGCAACACGGTTTCTACAAAACCATGCGGGTGAGTAGTCTTATAAACTTATCCGCTATAGAAGTATTTGAAATGTCCGTCCTTTAGCTGGTTCTGCTGCGGGGCACGGCACGCGAGGAATTGTCCGTGAAATCTGTCACCCTTGTGGCCATTATCACGCTCTGTCTCCGCCCGCTGATCGACGGAGACTACAGTCGCAACCTGTTGAGCCAGTTTCTATCGGAGATTGTCTCTGTGCCGGCTCTAGTCTATCACTTGAACCAAAGCGTGCCCCAGTGCATAGAACAGTTGTCGTCCATGGGTCTGCTGAAGAAGGCATTGAGCATCTCCGAAGACTTCCAATGGTTCGAGGAGTTCGGCGCCAGTATGCCGGGAACCAAATCCTTGGCGTTCTTGGGAAACATTGTCAACTTGTTCAACATTGATGGCCAAGCGGAGGCCAAAGTGCTGGCCTATCCATTACTGATTGTAAGTTGGATGCAATCACATTTGACTTCGTGCGCTCTTACACTCTTTCTGTTGCATAGGAAACCACCACAACGCTGCTGGAACTGATACCGAACACGGTGACCACCAAAGGAGTATTCACGCAATGGCACGAGTTGCTTGGCTGGCATACACCCGGTACGGAGCCCGCACAAAATCAGAATGTGTCGTTGATCAAAAAGCAATTTCATATGCTGTGGGATAGCCGCTGCATCAAGGTGCTACTGGGTGATTTCCTGAAGGACATTAATGTGAACTATGAGCGCATTGAGTTCCAGTCTCCCCAGCAGCCCTCCACATCGAATCTGCTGCGACGCGCCCTAGAACGCAGCTCCAATTGCGGTGTCACTCTCATTGGCGGCGGCACGGCCAGCAAGCAGAGCAAACAGGCCAAACAGCCGTGGCGGAAGCTGGACAGTGCCGATGTGGTGCAGGTGTCGCGCATTTGCGGCATGTACTATGCGGCTCTCAGCACGCTCTCCCAAATGAAGCTGGACATTTTAACGGGAATATGCTACAACGACAATGTTCTCTACGACATCTGGCTGATGCTGACGTCGCTGGGTCCGAATTGCGGAATGAAGGAGTATCTGGATCTACTGAAGAGCGAGACCAGCCTCCAGAAGCCGCAGACAGCAATGCTGATGCTATTCTGCGACTGCATGACACACTATGTTACGTGAGTAGATCTACAATGCCTGATTCCTCATCCGTGGCTATATATTTCCGTTTTTTTTTTAGAATTCTCGACGAGTATGAGATGTACACGGAGCAGAATCCCTTTAGGCTAAACGATTATGTCATGCTGACCTACTTTCTGAACAATATGCTGTACAAGTTGATTAACGATAACATTTTGTGTGAGTTTGCATTTAATCATCGCCGTATTCCAGACACTTATCCCCTCTCCATCTTTTTAAAGGCGCCAAGAACATTGTTCAGAATCCAGTATTTCTCTCGCTTCACACTCTCCTGCTCTGTCTCTATCGTCGCGACTGTCGGCGACCGTTTACGCCGACTAATCATTGGCTCATACCGGAAGTAAAGCCTTCGACGTTCATCAACGATTTGGAGAAGGCCAAGCGGAATGCCATGCTGCTGCTGGCCAAGATGCCGCACATTATTCCTCACGATGATCGCGTCAAGCTGTTCCGCAAATTCGTGCAGAACGAAAAGGCTGTGATGGGGCTGACGGAGAGCGCCTGTGCCTCGCCTCGCTCAGCGCTGATCGTCATCCATCGGGAGCGTATTGTAGAGGATGGTTACCGCCAGCTGGCCGCCCAGCCCACGCAAGCTCTCAAGGGCGTCATCCGAGTGCGCTTTATCAATCAGCAGGGACTACACGAGGCGGGCATCGACCAAGACGGTGTGTTCAAGGAGTTCCTGGAGGAGACCATCAAGAAGGTGTTCGATCCATCGCTGAATCTTTTCAAAACCACCTCGGATCAACGATTGTATCCATCGCCGATCTCCTACGTGCAGGACAATCACCTGCAGCTCTTTGAGTTTGTCGGCCGAATGCTGGGCAAGGCCGTCTACGAGGGCATCGTGGTGGATGTCCCCTTCGCCTCGTTCTTCCTCTCCCAGCTGCTGGGGCAGACGCAGCAGGCCCTCTACTCCTGCATGGATGAGCTGCCCTCGCTGGACGCTGAACTCTATCGCAGCCTCACCTTCATCAAGCACTACAAGCAGGATGTGGCTGAGCTGAATCTGACCTTCTCCGTGGATCAGGATGTGATGGGCAAGATCGTCACCCACGAACTGCATCCCGGCGGCAAGGGGCGTGTGGTCAACGATCACAACAAACTGGTCTACATCCACTACATGGCCTACTTCCACATGAACACGCAGATACGCGAGCAGACACAGGCCTTCAATCGAGGCTTCCGCAGCATTGTCAATCCCGAGTGGCTGTCACTCTTCTCGCCACCGGAGCTGCAGCGTCTCATCTCGGGCGATACGGCGCCATTGGATTTGAGGGATTTGCGCAAGCATACGCAGTATTATGGCGGATTTCATGATTCTCACCGCGTGGTTGGCTGGCTCTGGGATATTCTGGGAAAGGACTTTACAGAAGAAGAGCGCAAGCTTTTCCTAAAGGTGAGTACCGGAAAGAAGATCATGTCTAAGGCCATCTCCTTAATGCATATTCTTTTTGACAGTTTGTTACCAGCTGCTCAAAACCACCGCTTTTGGGCTTTGCCCACCTTGAGCCGCCCTTCTCCATCCGCTGTGTGGAGGTGGGCGACGACGAGGACACTGGCGACACCATAGGTAGTGTGATACGCGGCTTCTTCACCATACGCAAGAAGGATCCGCTCAACAGACTGCCCACCTCGTCGACCTGCTTTAATCTGCTAAAGCTACCGAACTACCAGAAAAAGTCGACGCTGCGGGACAAACTTCGCTATGCCGTCAGCAGCAACACGGGCTTCGAGCTGTCGTAAGTTGGCTGTCAGGTGGACTGTCCACATATCAGGGACTGCCGTGCGACAATCTTGTTTAACTGTATTGCACATATTTCTCCCTCCGTGCTTTATTCACATTTTATGTTATCTTTTAAGTATTTCTCGCGGTTGAAGAGCCCTCGGCGTAATATTTTTTTTTTTTTAGTGAAACCTAAATGGTATGTCAAGGATATAAAAAAAGAAAGAAAGAAAGAAACAAATAAATATAAACGTATAGCTGTGATAAAACTATAATAAACTAACGAAGTGTACACAATAACCAAAATACCAATCAATGCTGAATTACAAATACTTCAACTAATATTCGATTTTGGTTGGAAAAGATAAAATGGAGAAGGGGGAAATCTATTAAACTATGGCATAAATGTATTTATATATGTACGAGCATTACATGATACCCAATACACATATGGCTTACGCCAGGAGTTACATTGTAAAACCACAAAACACAAAAAAAAAAAAAAAAAAAAAAACAGCAGCAATAAATCTAAATGTCTGATTCATGTTCAAATTGTAAAGCCGCTACTGTTTATCTGATATTTCCCCTAAGCGCGTTCCCTGAGATAACAAACAAATGGGAAGGGAAGGGAAGAAAAGGAAGCCAAACGGCAGCAATTAGTGCTATCCAAATTTCCCCGGGTTTTTCCGACCCAGCCAGTGAATGAAAATGAAATGGAAATGCAATGAAATGAAGACGAGTCCACGCGGGCTAATGACACAAATCCGTCTGGCGATGGGACTGGGATTGAAACTTGGCTCCTGGTCATCCACTAATTGTCTGAGTCACACTGAAGGAAACACAGGACGCAAGGGTCGAATGATGCACTTAGGCCTTCTATTGGATGAGCTATCCGGAAATATTGCAAAGAGTTTATGCAAAGCTAGCCAAATTACCGGAAATTGCATGTCACGGTCCAGACTGGATGCATTTCGGCTGACTAATGACTTGGGATCGGACCGTAATGCGAAATGCGATCTGGACCAGCGAATGGCTTATGGATAGTCCTTCCTATCTCTCATCCAGCTGACCCGCACTAAATCTGGTTTCTTGAATGTTATTTGACATTTTTATTCGAATAAAAAAATCATTATATTGTTCTTTACGGGTTCCGTTTCTCAAGTGATTTCCTCTTGCGGTTTTTTTTCTGTCGGACCGGTCTCCCTTGAACTGGAACAATGCCAAACAAATTGTAGAACAGACCTACAAAACAGACAATAATCATAACAATAATTTCAAAAATCGGCACAGACGCTAACAGTCGGCGGTCGTCGCACCGTCAGGCCATAAAATGCCATCACTGCGACGACGACTGGCATTGTTCCCGAGCATCAGCATTCCAGGGACAAAGTGTGATGATTTTTATGACTTGCCTGTGAGTTTTTACCGCCACCGCCACCAGGAGCACAACAACAAGCGGCAACAAGTGACTGCTGAGAGACCCATAATATTCAAGTGGCACAGAGGCGACAGTCGCTTGGCGCCAGTCGCATGCGATGTGATGTGATGTCCTCTCTCTGGTGTCCTCGCCTTGGTGCCGGTGCAATTTGTTGTGGCCCGGCATCAAGTACCGTTTAAAGGTTTGATTAGCTCGACTTATCAAGGGCGGATCTCTTTTGTGAGTCCGTCGATAAACGGTAGCGGCGAGATTTCCTTGGATCTAGTACTACAAGTTGCAGCTTGTTCCAGTACGATTTCAGATAAGATAAAATAGCAGCACTCGACCAAATGGGAGCTGATCATGGCAAAGAGATATGGATATCCAACGGATATTAAAGGTTTCCTAAGGCTAAGAAGGTTCTGAGTCGAGTGGGCACTCGAAAATTCTGATGATGAAAAAGGAAAATATCAGAATTGGTACGTAATATTGAAGAACATTCTGTGGTAAGATTTTAAAGGACGTTTTTGAATGTTAAAAAGTCATAGTAAAAATAGTAATCGATGCATTATCATTGACCTCCCCCTATTTGAAATAATTGTAATAATAAAATTAAAATAATGCAATATCCAATGTTTTCTTTTGCAATAGTAGAATTCAATCTTTACAGGCATTCTGATTTGGCCCACATCCAAAGCGTTTTCGTTTTCCATAAATATTACAACCGATTAGGAGGAGGCTACTTCAAAGAGCGCTGCACCCCAATCCCCCATTAATAGTATCAACGGCAATATGGATGCCATGCCCGTGCCCCATCACTGGAGATGGGGGAGATGGAGATTCCATTCCATTCCCCCCACATGAACACACGACCCAAAATGGCGTTCCGGATCGGTTAGAGCGGGACAACGAAACGTTCCAACGACTATCAGCCAATGCCCGCGCTGCAGAGAGGCAGAGGGAGAGCGACAAAGAACGAGGGAGAGCCGACACCAGCACACACCACTTGAGCAGAGGAACAGGTCGAGCAACTATTACTACCTGAAGCTCGACTGAGCGAAGACCGGATTCTGGCAGAATCGAGTCAGTGCGATCGTCGCTGCTGAGAGAAACAGTCTCAATCTTGACAACGTGACGAGCAGTTCTTGTTTCGAGTCGCGCCTCAAATACATACATACATATATTATTGTACGTTTCGGAGTTTAGAAGCAGTTCGATCGATTTGAACCGTCGTTAGAAATTTCGTAACCCCCCTATTCACACTTCGAGGAGATCTATACGAAATGTTGGCCCTGCCAAACATCGCCGATCTGCGCATGCAGCAGCAGATCGCTCACGAGATCTATCGCCACCAGATTATGCAACGTTTGCCTGGTAAGTGGAGCAAGCTCCCCGAATGATTCGCCGACGGCACTATCTAACCCATTCGCTACCTTGCAGATCCCCTGTGCGGCCTTCTGCCTGCCTTTGCTGGGCACTTTGTGCCTCCGCCGCCACCACCTCAGCAACCATCGCTGCCTGGAGTGGAGGCCAAGCTGGAGAACAACGAACTGTGGCAACAGTTCCACAACATCGGCACCGAGATGATTATCACAAAGTGTGGCAGGTTGGTACTATTTGACTGTTTGTTTCTTCATCTTATCTCCAAAAATTGTGACCGACTTTGTCGACTGTGTGGACTTGCCAGAGATTGCGATAAGCCTCCATCTTATCGTCGTGTCAACGTGTCGCTAACTTCCATTTTCTTCTCCTTTGCTTCTCCAACAGACGCATGTTCCCCTCGATGCGGGTCTCGTTGAGTGGACTCGAGGAGGAGGCCAGCTACTGCGTGCTCCTGGAGATGGTACCCATTGGAGACTGCCGCTACAAGTTCTCCGGCTCTCAGTGGGTCCCGGCTGGAGGAGCCGAACCGCAGAGCCCCCAGCGCATGTATCTGCATCCGGAAAGCCCGGCCACTGGCAAGCATTGGCAGTCGCAGGCTCTACTTTTTAGCAAAGTGAAGCTGACCAACAACACCCTGGACAACAACGGACACGTGAGTGGATTTGATTATTCTCAATCTGAATTGGTTGATAATCAAAGCCTCGTTCTCCTACAGATTGTCCTAGCCAGCATGCACAAGTATCAGCCGCGTTTGCATGTTATACGCACCTCTGATCTTGGCCAGATTCCCTGGGCCCCGCAGCAGGCCTTCGTCTTCCCCGAGACGGAGTTCATAGCCGTGACCGCATATCAGGTGTGTACTTGAGAAACCGCTTTTCCATGTGAAAATTGATAACTAATCTTCCACTTTTGTTTACTTTGTTTACCTATAGAACGATCGCATCACCAAGCTGAAAATCGACAACAATCCCTTTGCCAAGGGTTTCCGTGAGTCGGGCCAATCACGGTGCAAGCGCAAGCTAAACGATTCACCGCCTCCACAGCCGGCGGCCACAGCAGGAGGAACCAATGTGGAGCACTCACCATTAGCCAAGCGTCTGCGTTTGGTCGACGATCTGTCGCTGCATCCACAACAGAATGCTGCGCAACTCCAGTCCGACCTTATGCAGCGTCATTATCTGCTGGATACACTGGAGGGAAATTTCTATCTGCCAGCGCCGCCACCGCCACAGCTGACATCCCATGCCATTGAATATGCCAGACACATTGCCTGCTATCCAAGTTGGGCCTACACACCGCCATCGCCAGCCTCCTCCTCCTCCACGTCGTCCTCCTCTTTCAGTGGCGAGTCGGCAGCCGAGGCGGACGCAGACACCTTTGTGGATGTGGTAGGCACTAACACGACAACCACCACCACAACGGGCACGCATGAGTCTGCGGCTTCTGTGGCCGCCGATGCCGATGCCGATGCACAGCCAAAGCCCAAACGGAGCAGCTTCAGCATCTCGGACATATTAGGAACGAGCGTCTCCGTTTAGTCGCCGCCTGCACCCATTTCGGGAGCACATTGTACATTTAATTAGCGTTAGGTTGCCATCGTCATCGTAGTCTCTAAGTTGAATTGTGATATTTTGCAGTTAATTAGGATTTCCAGGTATTTGCCATCAGTATTTATCGTATTTATTATGCAATTTTAATTGTTCAAATGATTTCGTAATGGATTTATTGTCTGTGGCATTTTAATGCGGCATTAATAAAATACACACTATATTCAAAATGGAAGTTGAAAGGAATCGCTTGGCGGTCACTTTTTGTGGGCTGCTGCATATGTGGGGGTCAATGAAGACACATCTCTGGACCTACCTCCGACCTATCTCACCTGAGACCTGAGACATGAGAGCCCGTGCGCACATTTGCATAAATTCCTCAATAATTTCCCATGCCCCATCCTGTTCTTTCAATTCAGAAGTTTGTTGCATGCTTCCATTTGGCTGTCTGCGGAGCCGTACATAATTCTGTCTCATGCAAGCCATTAAAACCTGTTCCAACATCGCCAGACGCCAGACGCCAGCTCCTTGCTCCGCCCTTCGCCCTCTGCCCCCGAAATCCCATTCCAAAAAATCGCAGAGCCGCTCTCCTGGCAACCGCCACAGCAAGAGCAACAGCTATAGAAACAGCCACAGAAACAGCAAGAGCACTACAACAACATGGACATGGCTTATCAGCAGATCAGAGCGAGCCGCATCTTAAACGCTGGCGCCAGCGCCAAGTTAAATGCGCTGATTGAACGCCACGATCGCCAGCAATCCTGGCGAGCAGTCGCTGCCACAGCCACAGCCATAGAACCAGGTTTGGTCCCCCCGGTCCCCCCCCCGTCCTCCGGTCACCCGAGTCCCGTGTAATTGATGTTTTCACATTGTAGTTGTTAGCAACTGTGGCCATTTACATGTGCAATTGTCCGGGTGTCCCTCACACATCTCCATGTTATCAAATGGCCAACGGAAATGAGGCGGTTGCTTTGATGCTGCAGCTACCAGATGCAAGTGTTGGCCGCCAGAGAGACAGAGCCAAAGCCAGAGCCAGAGCCAGATCCAGAGCCCTAGCTCTGGCCGGCGATGATTGGCCAAATAACCAATCTTCGACGGTGGCATTTCATTTCAATTCGCGTTAAGAAGCAATTGTTAAGAGCGCTCCATTGCCATGATCTGCGGGCCAGGATGCTCGTGAGACCCACACACGTAGCAGCAACCTGTTTTTGGTGCTTCAGTGCTCAGTTGGACCAACTCAAACATCTGTTGGGGGCTGCAGGCCATTCATGTTGCCGCTGGAAGTGTTTATGGGCTCCACATTAGCCACACCGCATATTCATGTTAAACGTCGCCAAAAGACTAACGACAACGGTTGGCCCATTGTGTTGTTGCTGCTGCTGCGGGCTTTTGCTGAAATTTATTGAATTCTCATTTGGGGGGAATTCTCATTGGGATCCTCTGGCAGGGCAAAAGAAGAGTTGAAGCCAAAGCAAAGACCAATACGAGTGAGTAGTGTAGTCCATGCTGGAGCTGGCGGTGAGGCAAACGTTCGCATGTCAAAGTCAAATGAGCACCGACCCGAGCTCGGAGATCTTTCAGGCCAGATAAGCCAACTTTTTTTTGTCCCATGCTCCATGCCCCATGCCCCATGCCCCATGCCCGGTTGCTGTTGCTGTGTGTGTGTGTGAGTGTGTGTGTGTATGTGTGCTGCGGCTGCTCTCTTTCGGGCATGTGTAAGTTCCTTGGAAATTAATTTTGTGGCGGCCAAAATCAAAGTCACGGGCAACATTTTTCGCTGGCGACAATTTTATCGGCAGAACAATGAAATCATTTCCAATCCCTATTCTCTGAGCTACGCTGGCGATATTATGTCTTCGGCGCCATCTGACAGTCGCTGATTTTTGGTAGCTTTAATTTTTCTGCTCGGTCTTTCAGCCTTTATTGAAAATGAAAACTTACAAATATTATGTTTGTATGTACTTTTTGTAATAATAAATGGTAGTATCCCCAGTACGAACGCCTTTGCGAATGGCCTAGTGGTTGGGATCATTCATAACTCGTAAGGCGCTTAGATTATAGCCAGCAGGAAAGACAAGTCATTCCTTTGGACATGGTTGTAGTGGTATATTTTTGAACGGCGATACATATTCCTCCTCCACACGCTTGGCCTGATGAAAATAGGCATTCACGACCAAGTCAAATTGTTTACGAGGCAACATAATGCATTTAGGCTCAATTTGCTGGAACTCCAACCAGTTCCTAGTGTAAAAAATCTTTAGCTTGGCCTCAATATCGATCCACACTGAATACCTCAGCAATGGCCAACACATACATACATATGTATGGCACTGGAGACAATTTTCGGGGCTTGTTTATCGTCGAATCCAGCTGCCAATTCTGAAATTTGTTTGTTTTTTACACGTTCTCGGATGGATTTTGATTAACTTACAATTATCTGATTATCTTCACAGCTAGAGTGGGTCACACACGACGACCAAGCGTCTAAGTAGCCACACAGCTTTCTCCCACTGAAGAAGTAATCGAACTTGTCGTCTTTTTCGGAAATCTTTGCGCAAAATTATTGCGAGACGCCAATTAAAGAGACGCAAGATGAGCGTCATTATGCTCTGTCATTCGCTTTCAGCGTTGCATCGGATGGCAGCCTAATTAAAATAATGTGTTATCTACGCATTAGTTGGCAGCTCTCAGTAGAGGGCGCGCAGTAATTTGAATTTGAATTGAAACTAGATTCTCGTGGTTTCGTGCAATTAAAATGGCAAAGCAAAACATAATGCTGCTGCATATTGCACTCAATAGAATTGTAAACAATACTCCCTCCTCCTCCCTCCCTCCTCAAGGGGATGCCTACTTGACGACGGCCACTGTGCATTGTTCGGTTGTAATTGTTCCCTTCCCCCAATGCCAAGGCGTACGAGTTTGTTCAAACTGATCCTCAGATTTACATAGATCTTGTGAACATATGGACTGTGGAATGGTTAAATAGAGTACTATAGTTGGCCTGCTTATGTGGGTGATTTTCATTATCCTCTAATTGTTTGTGCCATTGTTCACGCGATAGGTTTGAGAAATTACACGCTTTGTTAATTGTACCATCCCTGAAGAGACGTCCCATAGCCCATAGCCCATAGCCCATAGCCCATAGCCCATAGCCCATAGCCCATAGCCCATAGCCCATAGCCCATAACCCAAAGCCCATAACCCAGATCCCAGCCCACATGTGAGCCCATTTGCATAAACTGCTCGGTCGTCCTTTGTCCTTCCCTTTCTTTCTTTTATTTTCGTTTCGTTTCCCTTCAATTTCTTTTTCCCTGGTGGGTTTTCTCTGCTCTAGTTTAAAACCCTGGCTTAGGCGAAAAACACTTGAGTTCGCTCTCAGCCTGGCCGGTTCGTTGGTCCGTTTGTCCGTTGGTCAGTGCCTGGTGTATCCGCTCTCATCCGTTTATGGCTTGGCCCCGGCGACACAGAAACCTTTCTTTGCCACGCTTTGTTGCATTCTCCTCCCGACCAATATATTTGCATGGCCAACAATAAGAACTCAAGTACCGATGCATTGTTCCCTGTCCCGTCCTGTGTTTGCCTAACGCCGGGCGCAGGCTCAAGCTTGGCCCACAGACCTATGACTAGGGATTGAACTGCCGCTCGTTGCACTTGGTTTGGATTTTTGCTTCCTTCCTTCCCCTAAATCCCTTAAATGAATCAACCAGCACAGGTCTCTATCTTTTCGTTTGCCTGACGATTGTCTCAGGTCTCAATTTGAAGTGGCAGCCACGCGTGCGCTGCGTAAACGCTTTTCCAACTCATTAGCACCATAGATCCACTCCTCCATCTACACTAGCACTGGCACCAGCACAGGCACCAGAGAGAACTAATTAACTTTCGTATAGGCAACAGTTTCACCCCGTTTTTCGGGGCCCCCCAATTCTGTTTACCCAACAGAAATGTGCTGCTCGACAAAGTGTATCTAATTTCATAACAACAAAAAGAGGCAGCAGCAGCAGCAGGGGCAGCAACAAATGTGGCAGCGTAAAAAGCAACAGCCATAATGCATTAATTATCCAAAGACCTGCGACATCTGCCAGGGTTGGATCGGATCGGATGCGATGGGATGGGGGGACAGCCATTTAATGAGGAATTCAATGCACTTACAACCTTGTGCATGTCAACACACATACGTATGTACACACAGGGGCACACACGGCCGACATCTGTCACCCGTTCGGTCGCTCCGTCACTCCGTCCATCCTCTATAAAACCGCACCCGTCTCCCCAGAGGAACAGACTTCCCAAAACGGGGACAAGCAGAAAGACAACAAACAGAACAGCAACAATTTCAAATCGATTTTGTGGTAAATTGATTCGGTTATGTTTCTTTTTTCAATGGCTGGGCGGGCGGAGACAGAGACGGAGGCAACTGCGTCTGCACACGCCTCCATGGCATCCCTCTCTCCAGTCAGGGCGTCTCCAGCGCATCGTCGAGACGTGGGTGGTGACGCATGTCATCGTGAACTTCATCATTGGCTCTGTTCTGGACGGAGATCTGCGGGCAGCAGCAGCAACCATACACTAGCAGTCGGCAGCTTACATAACAAGTTGTCTTGTATCGTAGAATTTTTTTTGGCTTCGTCTCAGTCTCTGCCCATTTCATAAATATGTACATAGTTCCGAAACGCTATGGGTCTCTGGGGTAGCATCAGAGAGAGCGAGCGAGAGCTAGAGAGGGCTGCAACCGAATTTCATGCCTTGTCGAGCTATTTAATTGCAAACAAATTATGTTCTGTCCAGGCACATCTGAGCCAGTACTAGTCCCAGTCCCATCCCATCTCTTCTGTGTGGCTAATGGATGCGAAGGCTGCGACTGTTCCTCGGCTGATGATGTTGTTGAAATTCGAACGTTTATCTTGTTAATTGGTTGGGATTAATGTCTAGCGGAAGTTGTGATTGCAACTCTAGAGACGCTGCACGCTGCACGCTGCATGCTGCATCCCTAGATGGGATGTAACATGTTCATTTACCTACAGCGGAGTGTGGGCGTAGAGGCTTTAAAGGCCCGAGCCAGCAGCAAGATTTACCTAATGCCATTTTACCTAAAGATCCCGATCGATTAGAATTTCAAAAAGATTTAAAAGGCATTTTCGAGTATTTTTCTTAGAGTAAGTAAGTACGTAAGTAAACAAGTAAGCAAAGCAGTAGTAACTTTATTTTGATACAAAAAAATAAAATTTAAAAAAAATTGAAATTATGATCTAATCAGGCAAGGGTAATATCAGAATTAGTAGCAGGGATCTCATGAGGCATCCTTCTCTAGTTGCCGCCCAAAATGGCGGATATGCTAAAGCCCTTGCTCCTGGTGGAGGGTTCCGGGGGCTGCTCTACAGGCTGTTGCTGCTCCTGCTGCTGCAACGGCGTTGCTGTCGTCTCGCTCCCCACATCCAGTTCCAGGTCATCCGCCCCAGACTCATCCGATGTAGGCTCCCCACCGGAAATGTCCTGCGGCAGTGGCAGAGCAGGAAGTGGGGGAAGAGCAGCTTGCAAAATGGAGGCTGGCGGATACACCGGCATCGCGCCATTGTAGTCGTGAGCACTGCGTCCGAAATACGTGCAGGCCAGGTCCACCAGCGAGGGTCGCAGAAGGGTCTGGAAGTGCTGCATGAAGACGCTGCGATGTTGCCCCAGGCCTGGGGGCGGCGATCCAAGTCCCATGGAGATGGCGCCAGCCACAGACATTGGCACAGGCTCTGGGCCGCCGACGCCGACACCGCCACTACCGTTGCCGTCCAGCGATGAGGATAAGGAGCAGGCGGAACCATTTGATCTCAGTCGCTTAATTTGCGGCCCATCTGATCCGAGATCGCGACTGCTGTTGTCCGATGTAGTTTTTGTTTCGCTGGCTTTTGTTGGTGACATGTCAAGCGATTGGGACTGGGACTGGGACTGGGATTGAGACTGTGGATGTGCTTGTGTCTGTGGCTGTGACAGCGACAGCGACTGATCTTGATCTTCACCGGTTGGCGATGAAGACATCTTGCGTTTGCAGCGCGATTGTCCCGTTTCGCGGAAGCCCTTGGCAAACGGATTGTTGTCGATCTTTAGCTTCGTGATGCGATCGTTCTGTGAAAGGCAAAAGCAAAACGGAGAAATAGTTGACGAGATTGCGTGAAATATGACGATTTCCAGCAGACAGCTATACATAATCTTAAGTAACAGTCTTGCAGATTGTCAATAGCTGGCGTTAAGTAACAAGGCCACTTGACACTTGACACAAGAGCAGCTACAGGACCAGCACCAGCGCCATCTCGTTTCCAGTCAATCTGGAGTGACCCTCCTCGTGACTTGACAACTTTGTGACGATGTTGAGAAGGAGGACGAGGATGAGAAGGAAGACGATCTTGGCGAGGCGATCACGCTAATTAGACGCAGACTGACGACTGGCGTCGCCTGTCAATGGGTCCAGACCTAGACAAAAACACAGCATGGCTAAAATTTACAAGGATGTGGCTATCCAACTTCCTAAAACAACAATCTTGCCTGCCCATCTAACCCTAGCCCCAGACGAGGACGCAGGACGCAGGGTGAAGGGCGTACCATGCTAATTTGAGACGTTGACCAAGTTACCCATGGCGTGAGCGATCGCTCCTCGTTTGCCGAAAATTAACCAATTAGTGTGTGGTGCAGTCACTGCTCAATGTATTGGCAAGAAACAGAAACCCATAGGGAGAGTGAATGGGGGTTGGGAACTTCGGAGCTTGGCCACTTACCTGATACGCTGTCACGGCCACAAACTCGGTCTCGGCAAACACAAAGGCCTGCTGTGGGGCCCAGGGAATCTGCGCCAGATCAGCGGTGCGTATGACATGCAGACGCGGTTGATACTTGTGCATGCTGGCCAGGACAATCTGTAGGAAAACAGAACAGAACGGAATGGTAGGGGTACAGGGATGATAGGGGATTCATTAGTAACCGGAGAATACTTCAAAGCGCATATCACCTACATGCCCACTGTTGTCCAGGGTATTGTTGGTCAGCTTCACCTTGTTGAAGAGAATGGGCTGAGCTTGCCAGTGGGCGCCTGTGGCCGGGCTGTCCGGATGCAGATACATTCGCTGGGGGCTCTGCGGTTCGGCTCCTCCAGCCGGTACCCACTGGGAGCCGGAGAACTTGTAGCGGGCATCGCCGATGGGCACCATCTCAAGTAGGACGCAATAGTTGGTCTCATCCTCCAAGCCGGAGACGCTCAATCTCATGGAGGGGAACATCCGTCTGAAAAATCCAGGAAAATTGAAACCCATGTTTATTGAACAAACTCAAATAAAGTCATGGTAGATCGACAAAAGGAGCCCGGTCCCTGTCCCTTTCCCTATTCCGAAAAGTGCGTGGGCGTTACAAATATTTAATTGTGAGTTTTTCCATTCCATGCGCCATGTAATTAGCCCAAACCAAATAGAGAGCGGGAGAGGGATCCGCTTCTTCGCGGTCTGGTTTGCTCTGTGCTAACAAGGATCCGATCCGATCCGATCCGATGCCATCCGAGGCCTCTGCTACAGGCACAGCAGGTGGTCACCTGGCTCACGGCTCTTGGCGCCAGTTCAAAAAAATAAATAAATAAAAATAAAGAAAGATGCAGAAGAAACTGTTTGTCCGATGCTCATATCTGCGATATTCTGGCTGCCTAGAGAGTTGTTTCGTGTTTTTGGCAATGATTTTTATATTTTTTTCGGGCCGATGATTAATTAATTGAACTCGACTGCGCTTTGCTTTGGTTTGCTTTGCTTACATTTATTTTTAATGCTGGCTGCCTTTCTGTTTCTGTTTCAGTTTCTGGTTTGTTTGTCTCGAATTCCATTAGACCACAAAGAGCCCAGAATATTTCGACATTCGTGTGGTTTAGAATTTCATTTTCAATTTGGCTCTGCTCGGCCTACGATCTCTGCTTGGGTTTCTGGGTCTGGGTCTGGTCTGGTCTGTGTTTTTGGCAACTGTCCGAGCTGTCCGGTGAATTCTTTTGGACAAACGATTTGTTAAGATCGATATCTTTGGCGCGTCTGCGCATAATTAGCAGGCAGAGAAGCGGAGCGAGATGCAAGATTTGAGTGAGGGGCATGCTGAACATTTGACGGCATTCGGTTTAGCGCTTGTGCAGGTGCAGGGGAAAAAAATGACGGTTTGTGGAATCGGGACTCCACTTGGGAAGTCTCACTTGAAGGATGAACACGTTGGTTACCCTATAATTCTCTAAGAGATGTTCCATCTGCTGCATTTACCCATACACACTCCGCGTAAAAGCATCGTGACGAAGTCATTTCATTTCCTCTCTATCGTACGTAAAACGATACGCTTTGTTCTATCTAAGTTGAATGGCCGTCTGCGCTTTTACCACCCAAACAGATCGAATGGTTCAAGCGGCAAGAGAGGCCTCGACAAGCAACTAATTAGTTTTTATGAGCGCCACTTGGCATAGGCCTAGTCTAGGCCGAGCATGGGATTTGAATTCGGATTCGGATTGGGTACTGGGCCACTGGGTACTGGGCAGACGGTGGCACTCTGGCGCCTAGTCATTAAAAATTCAAATCGATTGCATGAAAGAGGAGATGCGAGAGCGAGAGCTCCGTTGAAGATTCGGGGACGGGACTGCATTTCACATAAAACATTTTTGTTGAGCATAAAAAGTATTTAATACGCAGACACTATGAATAATTCATGGCATATATGTATGTATGTATTCTAAAGCAAGGGAGGGAGTGAAAAGAGTTTGGAAAGAGTTTTGGCTAGTAAGCGAGCACTCGAGCACTCTTTGGTGGAACCCAAAAGTTTATGTTAATGTTTTGGGAGCCCTTTCGATCGGTCATCATCATCATCATCATCATCGTCATCATCATCGTGGAGTCACAGTTGTGGTCTGGGGTCGGTCTGCTGTTGCTGTTATCGCCAGTTGGGCATCTTCCCGAGAGGGCCAAGTGTGAAATTGCTCGTATCTGTCGACAAGCTGTGGTCATTGTCATTGCCGATGCCAAAGCGGCGTGCGCTTGGCTCGCATATCCGACAGATACGTATTCACAGATACAGATACCATATACAGATGCACGAATGCACGAAGCGGAGTAAAGCATAGGGACGGGAACCTGTACATATTTCGGGTAGAGTCTCTGTTCAGGTTGTCTGCAGACAGGCGCCACAATAAATACGCTAAAAGCAACAAAGATGACAACAAAGTATCCTTGACGCAAAGATTTATGCCAGTCGAGCATGTCCGTCCGTCGAGTGCGCTCCTGCTATCCTGCCGTCCCACTGTCCGACTGTCCGTATCCAAAAGAAACGCCGACGACCGACAGGACGTCCCACTGCTTTCAGCGTCCATAGACGGCCTATAATAAATTAAGATGACGCCACTTTACGCACATTCGAACAAGTGGCGGACACTTTTAGGTAGTCGTCCTCCAATTCGTGTATCTAGATACACGATCAAATATCTCTAGGCGGCTGCGCTATGGCTTTGATTCTCGATACCCGATGCTAGATGATCGTTGTTCGATGCCATTCCCCTCTCCCCTATCCTCTCTCTTCTCCCATTTTCGTATCTTCAATCTGGACACGCAAAGTGGCATTGGACTTGTACATTTTACGCCTCATGCGATAGCCCAAAAAGTGCATTATGCACATTTTGGCTGTGGTACAGGCCTCAGCTCAGCAGCAATCAGTACCTGCAATTTCACATCCTGCCAATGCATCCTTCCGCCTTGTTTGCCTGTGAAAATTGTTGTCGCGACACCGCTGTAAACAATTTGCAGGCGCCTGCATCTAATGAGCCTTTAACAGCAGCGCCGTCGACAACGGATGACGGCAATCAATCCGATGAAGACACGGCCGCCGCCGCCGTTGCCGCCGCCGCCAACAACATCCTCTCGAGTAGCCACCAGCTACTTTCCACTCGGTGGATGGCGCACTGGGCTAGGCATGTTTTTGGTTCTTTAAGTGCCCCTTGTGCTTGGTCTTGGTTGGTTGTTTTTCTTTGCCCTGCGTTTCGGGTATTAGTTTTCACGTTCATGCTAATGCATCGCTCGATGCCGATGTTTGTTTCCGATCTCTGCCGTATTCCATTTTAGCTCTATCTTACCCTTCCCCATGTTCACGATTATTTGAGGGTTGTGGATGCCACATTTGGGTTTCATTTGGGTTGCATTTGGGTGTCTTTTGGGATCCCTTTGCATGTATGTACATACCTGCCACTCTTGGTGATGATCATTTCGGTGCCAATTTGATGGAATTGCTTCCACAGATCGTCGTTCTGCAGTGTCATATCCACGCCGGGCAGGGTCACACGCGGTGGCATGATCACGTGGCGTGGCATGTGAATGGGCAGCATGGGGGGAAAGGGATCTGGAATGGTGGAAAAGTGAAGGTTGAATAAGATTAAGGAATCTTCTAATTCTTCATTAAGATCCACAAACCCAAAAAGAACACAAGATAACTCCTTCTGAACGGATCGATTCCAGTTTAAACTCTGGCCACCTTAATACCTTAATGCCTCCAATTAAGGATATAACTTGAAATTTTCCCAAAATGTATCAGCGTAATTAAGTACAAAGAAGTATATGTACATACTTAAGGAGAAACGACGATCCCGCTGTTTAACGATCGGCGGCAACAAGAAAAATGCATTCGATATATAATTTCTGGGCCCCAAGATCAGCAGCCATCACTTTGCCACATTACTCAGCTTTATGATCAGCTAAATCGATCGGTGTGATGGCAGACTGATCGCCAAATGTAACGGCCATTAATGCTGACTGATGGTGCTTAACAGCTTTTGTGGCGAACTCAATACCCGTTACAACGGGTCGGATGAGTGATATATCTGGGATATGGGGACGCTGCTTACCTGGTATTCGCTGCATGATCTGCTGGCGATATATCTCGTGAGCTATGTGCTGCTGCATCCGCAGATCCACCAGCTCGTTCATGGTGATCATGGTGGTGGGTTGTGGTGGCTATAGTATCTTAAAATATACTCTAGTATATATTAACACTTGATGGATCTTCTGTTGTTTAGTTTTTGTCACTTTAGGCACAATGGTTTCACAGTCAAAAAATACCAAAATATATAAAGTACACTGACTAATGACAACATTAGAAAGAGAGTCTGTTTTTAGTCTGGCGGTGGTCTTGTGGTCTTATTATTATTTTTTGGATTGCACGAGACGTCTCTGATTAGCGCTCAAATTTGTGCAAATCACCAGCAATCACAACTGTCTGAGGTCTGAGGTGCGCGTGGGTGTTAATTTGATTTGGCGATGGTGTCAAAGCAGCCATCGAACAGAGCTGCCGCCAAATGAGTAGCCAAAAGTGGGCTATACGAGTACGAGTACGTAATGGTGGACCGTAACCGTATTAAATATATATACTAGATATACGAGATTTATGGATTTGGTTTTGGTTTTGCCGACGGTCGTGTCTTGCGCTCGCCAAGTTCGCATTTCAAATGAACAAGTTCCATTTGCTTGGAGGATCGAGCTCGAAACGAGCTTGACTCGTTTTGAGCCATTGATCGACATAACCATTACCATTACCTGCTCGAAGTCGAAGTCGGACTCTGTCTCTGTCTTCGATTTACTCTGCTCTGCGCCAAGAGCCCCTGCTTCCATTGGCTGTTTCAGACTTTGTCTACATAGCTATCCCGCTCTGTGTTGGCACCTCCATTTTGAACAATTGTCTCGCTCTTCCAGACCAAGTAGCTCCGCCCTCGAAAGTTGAATGGTAAATGCTGTCTCTGTTCGTCTCTCTCTAATTGTGGCTAATTCTGAAGTGCGAAGTTGCACAGTCAGCGGAGGAGGAAGAGCAACATGCTGCTCGTCTGTTTTTTTGGCTGTGTCTGCTTCCCTCCCTCTCTCTCTGTCTCTCTGTCTCTCTCCCTCTGTCCCTCTGTCCCTCTGTCCCTGTGTCGCTTCTCGATCTTGTGTTGCCTTTTTAATTATGATCATCATGATTGAAATTGTTTTTCTCTCTCTGTGTCTGCTTTTTGGCATCATTTTTGTTGTTTTTATACTTTGACCATTTGCAGCCCGATGCCATCATGGTGGTCTGGTCCTCTTGTCGAGCCCCAGCCCGAGCCCGAGCCCGAGCCCGAGCCCAAGCCGTGCAGTGTACATATGTATGAGTGTTATGTATGTACGTAAGTATGTGTTTGTCGATTTGCTGTTCATTTGTTTTATTTGGTTTTTTATTTCGGTTTTGACGCTGCGTCATTCCGGTATTGATATGGCAGCATGTACCCATACCCCATACCATATCCCACGGCTCGATATGGCGTCTCTCTGATGATGTTGCTGCCGTTGCAGGTGGTATCTGGCATCGCACATACTCATGGATTGTCGATCTGACCTTTTAGAGATCTTGACAAAACATTTGTTCGAGCTTCGAAGCGACGGAAGCGCGTGTCGCTACGCTACGGAATATGCTGCTCTGTTGCCTAATTACAAATTTGAAACTAATTAAAACAATTAACTAATTTAATTGAACTTTGACTGAGAGATCAAGCATACGCTATATATGTACATACATATGTGGGGAAGCGGATAAGAAACGTGCTCCCGCGTACTGGGTCTCGTGTTTGTCCCTCTCGATGGGCAAACACTGCCCCTGCCACTTCCGTCGTAAGACTTTGGCGATCAAACAAGAGGGAGGCTCTTATCTGCTATGGCATCACTGCTAAATTCCTGAGGCTCAGGCAGTTATCCAAGCTAATTTACACAGCACTTTCCCGGCCTGACACATCTAACATCCAACGCATTATTTCCATAACCACAGCCACAGCCACAGCCACAGCCAAAGCCACTGGCGATAAGAGAGTGAAATTAATTTACTATTAGCAGAATTGCGTTCTGGCCAAGCCATGTGTTTGCTTGCTCTCCTCTCTCCCTTCTCCCTCCTCCTCTCTCCATTCTCCACTACGTTTTCACATTTGGTCGCGCACATATCCGGTTTGGGTTTGGGCATGATTCGGTTTCGGGATGGTTCTTCCAACAATTAGACATCGATCCTGCAGGGTCTCTGCAAATAGCTGTGCAATTTGTCAGCACCCATCTAATTGGTGCTGCCCCTGCGCCTGCTGTTTGACTAATGCATTTCGGTTAACTTCCGTTCAGTTCCGGATAAATGGGCCTACAGGTAGCCAGGAGACAGAAGATAAAAGCCAGAAGCCAGAAGCCAGACAGACGCAATCCACTCGCTTTAATCAGCATAGAGGAAGAATATCTGGCGGCTATCAGTGTGGAGGAAAGGTGGAGGCAAAAAGCGATTAGGAATCGAATCTCTTCAGTTTTCTGAAGAAAACTTCTTCTATCAGCCAAACATTCCTGTCGTCACAAGGCAATCAAAGAACAGAGAAACAGAAGTAAATAGGAGAACCTTTACTTACATGCACCTGAACTTAACGGAACAGCCTTGAACTGCGTCGCCAATTGTGAAGTGCACCTTAGTGTCGTCTGTCTTTCCACCCAGTTGCGAAATGAGTTAAGATCTCGGATTGGAGTACTTGAGAAGCACGAGCCCTCTTTCTCACACGGCTGTTCAAATTAAAATTAGCATAAATCCACGTCTACCAAAGCAATGTAATTTTCCATGGAAAATATGCCTTACCCTGTGCCGCCATCTCATATCAGCCAGCCCCAGCCAGCACTCATCTGCCATTGACGATCCGCAATTTATTGATTTAAACTTTTAGCTCACATTCAGAGCCGATCGTTCAGTCAGCCAGCCAGCCAGTCAGTCAGTCAGCCAGTCGTACAGTTAGTCGTTCAGTCAGGTTGTTTGAGCAAGCCCTAGCGCCTCCAAAGACGACTATTAACGGGCTGGCACTTGAGAGGGATGTGTACGTGTACTCATGTGTAGTTCCATTGTTGCAACACGACGTCTGGCTGGGGCAATGCAAATCTACTTTTGTATGCAAATTAAGTGACTCAATCAACATTGAAGAAAAACAGCAAAATCATAGACAGCCAGTAGCGGAGCGGAGTGGAGGGTCAACAACAGCAACTGACCCAACAAGAAGGCATCATAATCATGTGTTTCCATGGCAGGCCACTTGACAGCTTTCGATGGTCCCCGACCTGACCAGATCCGACCAGACCCGACCAAAAGCAAGTCAGACATCAGATCCCAGACCCCAGACCTACCCTTTGGACCCTCCTATAATTGAGAGGTGTTTAATCGTGTGTTTCGTTTTTGTTTTTCTGCACATTCATGGCCCCAAAAACGTAATCCTTTTCTTTCCTCCAGCTCCAGCTCCAGCTCCAGCATCAACTCATATTCAAATTCAAGCTACAGCTACAGCTTCTATTCCACTACATTGTCGAACGCTGTTTGCTCTCAAATTATCATAAGTAAATACGACACAAGATGCCAGACCAGACAGAGAGCCAGACCCGAGTCGCTCCACTCTTCTACTCTTCCACTCCTTCCCTGTGGACTGACTGTGGACTGTTTCTACTTTACGCTTTTCAGAACCGACCCGACCCCAACATCTTCAAACTGAAGTGCTAAAGTTGCTGGCGACGCGACGCTCTGAGAGGCGCTTCTGTTGTGTTGTGTAGACCCTTGAGCTATTACAATATTACTATATATTCAAATTTCAAGTGCTACTGGCTGTCCGTTCGGTTTGGGTCTGCTCTCCACATCTGAAGAATCTGCATATTTCCCGAACTATAATATTTGTTTGCCTACCTTCGAAGCTCTCCTCTCATGGAGTTGGCACTTGGCGAAGATGCGTGTTAATGGCATGTGTAATAACAAGATCATGCATTCAAATCTGATTTTCAAAAACAATTGCCAAATAACTACATCCATCATTCAAGGCTTTAACCGCTCTATAAAGATATCTTTAGGTTGGTCTAGTCAAAACAGAGGGCTTGGAGCCCAAAGCAAATCTAGAGAAAAAAGTCATTGGCCAAAACGTTGACATCAAAGACAGTGGCAGAAGATTGCCGACAAAAGAAGAAAATTCCTAGTCCAGTAGTCGGAGATGAGATATACAGAGATACAATATATGCTCGCAGAGAGAAGAGACGAGACGAAACGAAACCATTTCGCCTGATAAAAAAATCCATTATGCGTAACAATTTGACGGCTTCTTTGGCTACCGCTACCTTATTTTCGAGGCGGCCTTCGCCTTTGATTGAGTGACTACGATCTGGTCATAACCGCGGGGTAATGTAATTGTTGTCGCTGGACCATAGGCCAGGGACCATTGACCATGGACCCTGGACCAGTAGCCAGATCAGGGATCGGCTCTGGCCTGAGTGCGCAATTACAATGGCAGTGATAAAGAAGCCACAGATGGGGGAAAAAACGTACAAACCGAAACAGAGAGAGAGAGCGAGCGGAGCGGAGCTCTAGCGCGCTAACGTCAAAGAGGAAATGCCTTAATCTCGTGACAACAATGGGCCTTCCTCTGCCTCTGCCTCTGTCTCTGACTCTGACTCCACCTCCATTATCTAGCCAACCCATGGATACTGGACTCGTAGTGTTGGAAATTTGTTTGTTTGCTAGTCTATAGCGTCACGGAGCCAAATATAGTGCATAGTCCCATAGAGTCGAGTCGGACTGTCTCTGATTCCATTTCTTATTTGAGCATCGCACACTCCATGGATCAGTCTTTGGCCAAGGTTCTAGCTGTACAATCTATCTTTGTATATGTATGTATCTGTTGCTGTATCTGTAGCTGGTGTGTGTACTAATGGCACTAGTCATAGTTGACACTTTATGGTCTGCACTTGTTGTTAGCTCTGCTCTCGGATGATGATTGCTCTCTCGAATGGCGTCAAGACTTTCGCTTTAATGGTGGCAACGCTTCCACGAATCCTAATCAGAAATGATGCATTAGCTGGGGCTTCATTTAAATAAGGAATTCTCTGCCGTCTAGGGCATGGAGTTATCTGGAAAAAGAGAAAATGTACAGCGGGTTAATTGGAATTAAAAAGTGCGCTGGAATGAGAAGAAGATTGAGCTATTACCGAGTGGAATTTATATTAAAAAAAGGGGGGAAAATCTCAAATACCATAGATACATATATGTGCGTAGTATATGGATGTTTTCCCTAAAATATTAGCGGTACTCCTGGAACTTTTGACGCCAAGTCTCCTCAAAAGTTTCCCATTAGCTTTCACTGTTTGGCGCTCGAAATAGTAATCTTCCAAAGGCTGGCAACCGAGTTACATCCGAGATACATGCCCATACACCTCCCTCCGTACCACTGGGCCGAAGCTACCGCCACCACCCCCGTCCCCTGGGCGGACGTGGCAGACGACACGCACACACCCAACGGGGTCGCAAACAAATATGGCGCAAAGTCAAACAATAGGCACGGCCATTACCTAATGGCGGAAAAGCGAGAACAATTTATGCTACCTCTGCAATGGAGCACTACGTATTGTACCAGTGACTATTCCAGGCCATGTGAGGCGTCAAAAGCTTAAATATTTACAGTCCCCAAGTCCTCAAAAGAAACAAACAACGAGCAAACGAGATTAGGCCAAGCCACATTCAGAATCAGAATCCGAATCCGAATCACAGACTCATCTAGAGGCAGCGAGATAAAGGGGGATACAGAGAGAGAGAGAGAGAGATAAGAGGGGGGCAAAAAAGCATGAAAATATTTGTTAAAAGGCAAATAAATTGCGGAAGATAAAGATCTAGTTTTGATTAAAATTTAAGCTTTTTCACAACCTCGGCAGCTACCGAACTGAGTCTCGGGAGAAGATCAACAAAAGCGTCTAAAAACTGAAAGCGAATCAGGGCCCCTGAGCTGCTGAGGAGCAGGGATGGGGGGTATGGAATTGAAGGAGGAGCGGAAAAAGAAGAAATTAAAACTTGTCACATGGAGAATTTATGTTTGTTTTAAAAGAGAGAGAGAGAGATGGAGACAGAGATGTAAATAAATTAGAGTCTGGGAGTTCGTTATCATATTGTAGCGTGGACAGCATGTTGTTGCTATATATGGCAAACAATACGGTACTTTTAACACCAGAAATCAGGGCCCCACAATCCTAAACAAAGGCCAAGACAGCACAGAAGCGACAGACGCGTAGCTGCCGTTCGAGCAGCTGGCCCAAAGCCGCATACCCATACCCATACCTACATATACCCATACCCATACCCATACCCATACCCATGCCAGAGCTCTCTCAGATAAACATATACAAGATACCCAAGGTACGTATTGGACGGACGGTTGCCCCCATTTGCATATGAATGTGGTAATGATTACAAATTTCGCTCGTAAAAATGTTTGGCTTTTTTTTTGGGAGCATAATTAACTTTGGATCCGATCCCAAAGCGATCCCAATGCGATCCGATCCGATTCAATCTGTTGAATGCGTTGCGGTTGCTGTTACTGTTGCGGCAATTCACTCGCTTGAGGATGACCGGCCGTTTGTATGTAACTGGCAGATACGATCTTGTATTTGGTTTAATAGATACACATGGATATGCTGGATACGGGGATATGCATCGAATGTCAATGGACCTGATTTTCTCTGTGTGTTTCTCTGGTTCCCTGTGTTGTGGGAAAGTGTTGAGCCGTTTACATTATATGGGGACTTTTATTGAATGAATCGGACCTTTCACAGTCAATTAATAGTGGCTAACAAGACCGATGCTGTTGTAGATAACCCAACGAGCTGCATAATTAATAGATTTTAGTTGTTCGTGAGAGTGCCAACAGTCGGTCTCCGAGGGTGCCCACTAGCCACTCTCTCATCTCTCATTGTACGCCCAACAGAGTGGTCCTTGGTATTTGAGGATCAAGGATCATTCGGGACAGCCGTTGTCGTTGGGCATCTTCCATCCTTGTATTTATTGTGGCGTGTTACCTTAATTTCTTGGCGCCATCATCGTCATCCCTTTCGCTCTCCACGAGTTTGTCTCAGGGTCCCCTTCCTCCTTTGCTGCGTCATAGAATTAAAACTCTTCGCTCCATCATTTTCGTGAGCGAGTGCAACATTTGACAGGTAAATGTCTGGGAAAAAACCTGACTGGTCGCCGCGCCTCTTGATTAAAGGAACACTAGAATAAATGCATTCCCAAACATATTAGATACTCATTTCAGAAACTAACTTTCGGAAAATTGAATATATGTACTTCGGACCTAAACTTTCTATGTATTTAAACATTTTTTTAATCATTCAACGCTGGTATTATTACTATTTCATAATCCCAAACATCCATTTCATATAGTAGGGTTTTCACTATTCGTTGTCTTTTAAGCAAACATAATTTTAAATACATATTTGTTTTTTTTTTTTTTTTATTAATTTTTTGTGTGTTTTGTTTCTCAGTTTCCTTTTGTGTTGCTAAGCGAGTTGACCATAATTTTTGACAGATTTATTGGGCAATATTAATTTTTATATCAGACATTTTTGGAGAAAAAGAGGTGTGTTC